CTTACAAGGATTTAATAAGTACTATATAAATATAAATGCTTTAGTTGCACTGTTTTGAAGTCAGTCAGGTATACCATTATGGCCACCTATGAAACAACACCAACAAACGCCTTTCTATTAAAACAAATAATAATTATAGTCCAATCAGGTTCATTTGGTCTTCTGATATTTTATGTTATTAGGTTCATTTTTCAGACCAAGAGTTTGTTTTCATACCTGACAGTTTCGGCTGCTCACCAGCACTCTTCCTCAGAGTCACGTGATGTCGATGTGATGTGTCTGGTCAGATGATTTATACAAGTTTTGGCGCTGTTTTCCTACCGGGACAACAGGACGATAAACCGGGATGAAGAGGCTTTTTTACTCTCACACACCTGGGATACTGTCCTGAGGAAGTCAGACTGTAGATGGCGCTGTCATCCTGCCTCCACCGGTAGGAAAACAGCACCAAAACCTGTATAAATAAATCAGCTGACCGGACACGTCACATCAACATCACATGACCACTGTGAAGAAGAGCACTAGTGAACAGTCGAAAGTGTCAGGCATGAAACTAACTCTTGGTAGGAAAACAGAACCTAATAACATAAAAAATAATAATGATAATAATAAACGTGAGCCATTTGAGAAAAACAAAGTCAATCTTTTGTTGTTGCGTTTTGTCTTTTTAACGACTCGGAAAAACCTTTAAGGACAAAATACATAAGATAAACTGTGTCACTTTTCAGGTGGCGACTTGTCACCATGGAGATATTTTGCCTGGAATTTTCCACAGTATAGCATTACATGGATCTATTAAACAAACCTTAAAAAAAACTAAAACTTGCGAAACACACATTTTAATGAAGATGAATCACCTGCCCAAGTTTAATGTCATACTGTGGAACTTTCCAGACAAAGCAATAACATCTCAGTGGAGACAAGCATGTGGCGTTTCCTCCGTGTGAAGAGTTAAATCGAGCACATTTCTTTTCGCTTAATGCCGTGTACAGTTTGGTGGTGAGTGGCCGTGATGTTATACCTGAATGTTTTAATTTACAAAAAACAAACACAAAATATCATGGTCAAATGCATAAAGACAGAACATTTAAATAATACAAAACATAATAAACTGGTCATGATTTCAAAAATTCAAATAACAATACAACTTAATCATTTCAAAACAGTAACACTTTGGCAACACAGTTATATGACACAAAAATTTTTCCATAGTGTCCTTTAATCTCATGCCTTTAGTTTGTACCATCTCGCATGGACCACAATAAAGAGGAGCCTTAATGATGCCACAACTGCTATTTGTAAACTCAGCATGGACCTTGAGACAAAGGTTGAATGTGCGCGGAGAGGCTAATGGCTGATGCTATCGTTTGGAGGTGATTTGGAGACAGAGTTAGCAAGAAGAGATACAGCCGAGGACCAAAATGAACAAAGATTAAAAACAGCTTTAAAGCGAAGAGTGCTACTTCACAACTTTATACATCACTTGAGAAAATATATGGCTTTCTTTGTAGCGTGTGAGGAATAAAGCAGGACTAAAAGGACCTAAGCGAAACCGATAAGAAGAGAAAGGCAATACTTGTTGAACCTGGTATAAAGAGGACTGAATCAGATCTAAACCAGGCCAAGAGTACAAAATAATTATGCCAGTAAACTATGGCACGACCCAACCAATAGGAAATCAGAGTTTAACTATATTCGTAATTTCTAGATCAAACAAAACCTTCATACCACAGTTTGTGAAACACTTAAAGCCATAGTATGTAACTTTTTAGCCAAAAATACTGCAATAAGAGCATCTATCTCATGGTCTCGTGGTTTTAACATTCTATTTTTTATGGATTCATGCAGGTGACATGCCGCCTCCAGAAACGTATATACTATATCTTTAAAAGGACAGTCCCGAATTTTGGACATAGGAGCTCATTTCCTCGTGAGCCAGAGTGTTGGAGAGGTGTGGAGACACTTTGTAAAATATTCCTTCCAGTCCTTGTATTTGCAGAGGTCGCTGGTGCTAGGCTAGTGCATGTCAATGGCCATAGTTAGCCTATCACTAAAAACAGTCTAACCCACTCCACAAAACACCCAAAACAAATCTATTATTACACCAGACTGTCCATGTGAATGTCTGTGTTGATAGAATAATGTTTGAAATAAAACTAACCTTGCATCGCATGAATCGTTGCATGTTGAGGGACTATTTTCTCATATATCAGTCCGCCGCTGCCAAGGTTTCTATCAGGAAGTACAACTCATTGCTGCTGCTCAGACATAAATCCTTCAAATGCAAGGTTGGTTTTACTTCTAAAATTATTTTATCAACACAGACATTTACATCGACAGTCTGGTGTAATAATATTTGCTTCGAGTGTTTTGTGGAGTGGGTAAGACTGTTTTTAGTGGTAGGCTAACTATGGCCATTGACATGCACTAGCCTAGCACCAGCGACCTCTGCAAATATAAGGACTAGATGGAATATTTAAAAAAGTGTCTCCACACGTCTCCAACACTCTGGCTCACGAGGAAATGATGTCCAAAATTGCGGACTCTCCCTTTAACTAACAAAGAATAAATGGTGCATTGTGTAACTTTTTTCTGGGAAAAGGTCCGCAACCTGTTTGTCTCCACGGCTTTTGCCTAGAAGATTAAACTTGTCTTGTGACATCACCAGACCAAGGCACAGGTCAAGACTATGGAGAGGCAGGCCTGCTCATCGTAAGTGAACTGAACAAATGCAAGATAAATTTGTTTGGAACATCCCAGGCAAAGAAACAACATCTCCATGGAGACAAGCAGATGGCGATCCCCCACCAGAAACTTTCACAACGCACCTTGACCAAAAAGTGTGAACGCAGCTAAAACCCAAACTAAACCAAGATTCAAAAAGAGGTTCATGCTTCATCATTACTGGATCAACTCTACCACCTGTAGCCCTGTTCCATAGTTTCGTGTCATTTGTCCAACTCCGATGTTTTTGTCAAATTACACCTGGGAGGATGACACTGCTAAAAGCCCAACGGACCACAAAAACAACATGGAGGACGGCCAAATGCTAGCTTTAGTGTCAGGGCGGCGTGAAAGATGAAACCCCTGACTCTCCCAAGTCACAAGCGCTGACTCTGCACTTTCCCTGATCTGTATTTACCGCTGTCGTGACACGTTTACAAAATACTTACAGATTAATTTCGGTCACTACTGATTTATAATATATTTACTCACTCAGATGGTCACCTTGCTCGGAATAGGCTATACGCTCTATTATGGGGTAAGCAATTTTAGCATCACTGGGCTGGTCTATAATTGGTAACTGTATGTAGGTTTGTTATTTGAAGAGGCTCATTATTCAACACAAGTGAAAAGGCTAAAAATACAAGCAGAGGTTCCTGTGTGATGTAAGAGATGGAAGAGATAAACCTACTCAAAAAAATCAAGTAAAAGTTTTGTTCATATGCTAAAGTATATTTTCCATCACAGTAGTACAAATAATGTATGTCTTATGAACTGTCACTATATTCATTATTAGCCTATTACACCTTCTAGTACAACAATGTGAATTATTATATTGATCTTCATGATACTTTATTTGGTGATAAACTACTGATCTCATGGGCTCTTTTGGTATACTGTGATTGTTAAAGTAAGTAGATTTTATAAACAGTGCAGGTGGTGGTTTAACAAATACAGTAAATACTACTGAGTGGATGGCCATATTGTTATAATGGGCATATATTTTCTGTTTTACTTTGTCAGTAAAGTAACTCTCTTTAAATGTGCAATATGTAACTTTCTGGAGGTGGCATGTCACCTGCATAATTCCATGAAGTTAAAAAAATCCTGTGGAACATTCTCCATTCTTTATGCCATACTGAGGAAGATTACTAGCCAGGCTGGCGCCACCTAGTGCTTCCGCTCAATTTCATTTCTCTCCAGCGACTAGGTCAGGAATCAAAATACACTAGACGGTTTGCAAAAACCCTGGAAGTGTGAGTTTGGGCACCAGCCAATCAGCGAAGAGCCATACATTCTGTGTTGGCAACGATTTCCCGAGATCGAGGATTTAAAGTCAGAACAAAGAGAATATTTGGTGAATTTTATCAAGGGGAAAGACGTTATTGCCCTTCTTCCTATGGGATTTGAGAAAAGCTTAATATACCATTAGTGGTGCATTACATATGTCACGACCAAATAGCCGCGATTGGTTAAATAAAAAAACTACCCGCCTACCGTCGAGCGAACAAATTCTAATGCTGCGAGGTCAGATGAATCAGGCTAGAAGATCATAGCCAAAGGAACAACATTTCAGTAGAATCCAGTAGAAGGAGGCCCTTCTCATGACCAAATAAGGTGTGTGGAGATGCAAGCCCACTCTGAGTATGGCCACATTAAAAAAACAAAAAACTATGCTTTTATTATTTTCCTCTCTCTCTCTGCTTAATTTTATGATAATTATTTATATTTTGATTTGTTTGTATAATGATTTTAATATATTTCTTATTCTGTAAAGCACCTTAAATTACTTTGCGTAAGAATTATATGTTATACAAATAAACTTGCCTTGCCTTTTATTTTAGACTATTTGGCAACCCTAACCAAAGTTACATACGATGGCTTTAATTGTGTCTCATTATATTTCTTTAAAAATATACATTATTAAAAACTTATCATGAATTACTTGAGTAAAATGACGTGTCACTTATGTATTTGGTTTTATTTACTTCCACCTCTGAAAACTTGTATTAACAGGGTTTTGACGACTGAAAAAACACATGGACTTAGTAACATTAGCATTAAAATGTAGGACCTTAACCAATCTAGCCCACACAAAAGACCTTTCTTCCACTGTCTAACCCTGCTTTTGTTGGTTCTGTGGTTTACTTCTGCTCTTCAGGTCCCAGTGTGCAGTCTTCAGTGAAATCAATCAATCGCACCATATAGCTCCTCTCAGGTCTATTAAGCTACACAGGTGATGCCTTTAATACAGCCACTTTCACACAGACACAGGCTTGGAGTAAATCTCTATAATTGTTGCTACCGTTTTTGTCATTGGCACAACACTGCTACAGCTGTGATGTTTTTATTGCTATTTACATAAGAATGATTAATGGGAGTAGTGACGAGTTTAATTATACAGAGACATGAATGACTTGTCTTACTGGCACTTACCAACAGTGTTCAAATCAATCTAATTATGCTTCATTAGAGAAATATAAATGCTTGCTTTCTAGCCTCAAAAAGCTGGAGAGATGTCACATTGCATCATGGGACAATATTAATATTTATATAATAAATATTAATTAATATTAAACAACACATAGAAAACACTTCTTAAACGACTAAGCAGAGTCTATTTAAGTGCAAGCCAATGGAGATCTGCTTTTACAGCTAATGTAAAAAGATACTGAATTCACCAGCCAGGCATAACATTAAGACCACAGGACTTAAATAAATGAAGTTAATATAGGACGCAATTATACGCAGTATAATATCTGCTCATTTTTGTTCTTTTTGCTCCCGAACTGAATCATTATCTAGACAGACCAAAAAACGAATTTGTATCTTGAGAATAAATTCAATAAAAGGCCATGTATTTTAGCATTAGGTCAGTGTTGTTATTTATTTGCTCTGAGAATGGGACTGCGTTGTAACTTAAAACATAAAAAATAGGTATTTAAGTACATATTTAAATACATACTATCACCACAGACTTTATCTACAAGCTTGTTTTGATATTTACCAATCCCAATACCAGTTAACACTTTTCTTTCCTTGAGGTGTATTATGTAACATTTGTGGTGGAGGGTCTGGCATGTGCTTGTCTCCATGGAGATGAGTTATTCCCTTCTCTACAAAATACCACAGCACAGCATGAAATTTCCATGGAGACAAGCAGGCGATGTCACCAGGCCAAGTTACAGGTCAGATCTGTGGAGATGCGCTCACAATCACAATGCTTCTTTTGCAATAAAATACCTCAAATTGAATAAAGGCAAGATAGATTTAAATTATAGAAGCCTAGAAATACTCTGACCCAATTGTCTTCCCATCACAATTTTGCATCAAACTTGCTAAAATATTTATGATGAGCAATTTTTTAAAGCTTCAAATAAAAGCACTTCTAAGGCCCTAACACAGCATATTTTCCCTTTTCTTACATGTGCCATTTAATCCTTTATTCTCTTGATCAATGGGTATAATGCTATGCCTGCTTGGTGCAAACTGTACGATAAAATCCTTGATAAAAGTCTCAAAAATACATAATTATTACAGTCTTTTCACTATGTGCCGTTCAAACTCTTCAAGGTTCTTTGCTGAGGTAGCATCCACCTCCAACATCTTCAGAAACTTCTTAAACCAGGTAGTAAAATTGTCAATAGTAGAAAGTTAGTAAGTTAGTTCATTGGTTCACATACTTAAAAAGCAGCTTTACAAGTTTAATCCACTGTTTTGGATGACCAGTGTGGAGTAAGGTTGAAGTAAAGTATTTTTACAAATATATGTATTTTTAGATTGAGCTCTCGTCTGGCTGCAGGTCTAGTGTTGAGTGTTTCCTCTGCTCCAAAATCCTGTTCAGCTCCTCCGTGAAAGAATGATACAATGGTGACATGCCCTCTGGATCTGCCTGCCGTAAAAGCACATAGCTATTTCCATTCATTTTTCTTAATACGCTTGGTAGAGTCGCAGATAACCCATTGGCGTACGTAGTCCATATCGGGCAGCGGAGCGGAGGAGGCATGGGCAGAGGAGGGGCTGGCGGCGGTGTTCTAGTCGGCGATAAATGACAATCTGGCATAATCTGCATGAAGCTATCCCCCATTTCATCAAATGTCGGCATTGAAATGGAACAGCGCCCCCGATGTCCGTTCCAGTGGTTTGAAATTGTACGAAGTTCCAGATGGGAGCTGAGTCTTCGATCTGGTTCGCCCAAGACTTGAAGGCCTTGGTGGGAGAACTTCCGATCTCGTGAACCTTGTCTGGTACAAAAGCTGACGTAGAGAAGTACTACAGTCAATACCAAGCATAATCCTCCTAAAACTGCAACTAAAGATATGTAAACAACTTCCATGTGTCTATAACTTTGGTATTCTGGCACAGATGGGGCGGGAGGTGAGGGGAGAGGTTGCTCTGTAGCAGTGGGAGTGGTTGAATCAGTAGGGCTGGCGCTTGTAGGCTCAGGCGTGGACGTAGGCTCTGTAGGTAAACTTGAATCTGTATGTACTCTCACAGTGTATAAATAAACCAAAACAGAAACTGCATTTTCAACAGCAAAACAGCGGTAAGAGCCACTCTGTCTTGACCGGGCGCCAATAATGAGGAGGCCATCTGTGCCAATGCGGTACCCAGAGTTTAGCCCGTAGCCCTGGAGCTCTTTTCCGTTGAAGGTCCAGCGCGGAGACGCCAAGTTGGAGCGTAACTCACACTGGAGGAGGACATCATCACCAGATAAGACTGAACGACGTCTATGGACCACTGTAAACAAAAAAAAAGGACATTACATTAGTCTAAATGTTTGTGTAATGGATGGATAGACAGTGGATAGATGGATAGATAAATAGATAGATCACTTAAAATAAGATATGATTTAACATTTCTTTGGTCCACCACCTGCTTGTCTCCATAACATCTCCATGGAGACAAGTAGGTAGCAGACCCTCCACCAGAAATGTTGCGCAGTGCACCTTTAAAAGTAATAAAGTGCAGCAACCAGAAAGTACATTTATGCAAAATATTTAATGAAGATTTGTCTTAGTCCAGTACAGATATATAGTATAAGCAGCTCTTGAAGTAAAAAAAAAAAGTCTGTTGCATGCTGTCTGCAACTAATTATAAAGTGTTCTACTGTCCTACAATCAGGAAGTGCACATTAGCATGCTAGTTGCTGTTAGTTTTCCAGTCACAGCAAACTCTGCTTTGGCTGCTGACAATTGTGAAAAGCTCTTATAAATTCATCATAGTGAATAATTAGGATGCAGGCTAGTGCCACCTAGTGCAATTTCATTTCTCTCCAGAGAATCATAATACACTAGACGGTTTGCAAGAACCCCAGAAGTGTGAGTTCGGGCACCAGCCAATCAGCGAAGAGCCGGAACAAAGAGAATGTTTGGTGAATTTTATCAAGGGGAAAGACGTTATTGTCCTTCTTCCTTCAGGATTTGGGAAAAGCTTAATCTACCAGTTAGCCCTGTTAGCAGCGTATTACATTACGTCATGACCAAACAGCAGTGATTGGTTACATAAAAAAGTACCCGCCTCCCGTCGAGCGAACGAATCCTAACGCTGCGAGGTCAGATGGTTTCTACAAAGTGAAATCAGATGATGAATCAGGCTCCTTACTGCATAAGGTCAGTGAGGAATAACTTAAGACCACTCACTGCATATTGTTTAAAATTAACTGTTGTGTTTTTCACATTTTTAATAATAAAAATCAGGTACAGCACCTTTAAGTACGAATAATAATTATCGTAAAATTGGCGAGGATTTTGGGCAAGACTGAATAGAAGAAAGATTAGCCGATAATGGTCCATATTTTCAGCACTTTAGTTCCGTCTGGGCCTTTAACTATGGTGAGATTTTGGAAAACATCTCTGATCCCTATAATGACACTTAATCCTCATATGTACTGACTGGAGAAATGTGTATTTTGCCAAATCCTCGCAATCCCTGTGTGCAGACAGAGCAACTTTGGCTTTTCCATTTTCTTTTACTCGTCTCAAAGCGTCTGGACAATATATAGAGAAGGCTGTAGATAAGGCAGTAAAGGTGTGTGGATTTCATCAAAAACATCACATATATTTATACTACTGAATATTTGTACTAGCACAGACCTTTATAAAGTTCCGGTGCTTTTGGAGCTTGGTACTATAGGCTACGTTAAAATCAGTTTCCTATTATGCTTAATTTTTAATTTTGATTGGATTTTTTTATTGTGTTTTGACTAATACATAGACTTTACTGTCTATCTCTACAAAAAGCAGTATTTATTTATTTATTTTTTTATTGGTGTAAGTTTGGAAGAAGCTTAACTTGACAAATCCAATTGACTTTAGTAAAATTAATGTCCATATTATCTGTGCATCAGTCAAAACTATCCTTGTAAATTAAAGATGCACTATGTAACTTTTTAGTTGGGGGTTCATCATCTGCTTATTTCTATAGATGTCATTGCTCTGCCTGGAATATTCTACAGTATGGCATTAAACAGCTCAGCAATACAGCTCAAAAATACATAAAAAAATAGGTATGCTGAATGTGACGAAGTCACCTCTCCATAGATCTGACCTCAAACTTGGTCTGTTTTGGTCTCTGTGAAAGTAGAAAGGTTTAATACCACACTGTGAAATATTCCAGACAAAGTAAAAACGTCTCCTTTGATGGACGCTCCACCAAAGAAGTTAAACAATGCTTTAAACAATGGTAAAACTGGCTAAAATTGGGGTGAAGGTCTATGTAAAATGACTATGCTGTGAAGGGAGTTAATAGGCATCTGTCTGTATATTTCTACATGTCCGCTGTAGCCGTTTTATGCCTGGATGACCTCTATTTACGGAGATGGCTGAGAGCTTAACCCAAATTAATGTATCTAGGTCTATGTCCTGTTTTTGGAGACTACATTTTGTGTTTGGAGTCAGAAATGTCAGTGCATGTGATTATGGGGGTTACAAGTGAAAAGGTTTAAAATTACAGCAACAAACAAACAACTGCAGTTCAAAAATTATAATGCAAATTTGTATTGCGGATCTAAAAGTTAAACGAATTTAACTTTGTGATGCAAACTACAAAAATCACTTTCTGATTTAAACATCTATTACTTTTTAATTGCTACGTGTAACAGGATTAGATGTAACTAGATGTGTCTCCCACTTCAAAGCAGCATCACAACACAATCAGCCTTCCACTCATAAAATTACTGCACATCGTATCACATTTGTGAAGTTGTAGTGTATTGTTTTGTATCCTGCCTTTGTATATTTATGGATTTATTTATGAATTGCCGTGTGGTGAGCATGAATATCGTAGATTTGTGGAGCATTGGACCGAATCTTACAGCTAAACGTAAAGAGGGTTCAATGGAATAGGGCCCGAGAGAAATTGCAAAATTACTCAAGCATGTATGAATGAAATATAAAACCACTTCACACATGGTTTTGATGAGGGAACATCGTTAAAACACTGGTAAAAAATCTCCAAAAAGCAGATTTTGCATAATGCCCCCTCTTTAAACTTTGATGTATTTTGGCTACTTCATCTTTGTAGCTTGTTTATTTCACAGTCTGTTTATTTCACTTGTGTTTTTAATGTCTCATGGTGAACTTTGCGCTTTTTGCACATGTTTTTCCTATGTGTTTTTTAACTATAAATGGCAAATAAGCTAACCCAACCTAAATAAGAACATTTTACAAGTCGAGAAAATACACAGCATCACTTTCTATGAGCCACAGGAAGAAGCAATGACTGCAGTGCACCTGACCGCCTGACCCCAGCAGCAAGAAGAGCTGATTAGAAGAGCACACTGAGAGAGAGGGGGAGGGGGGGGAGGAGTGGGAGCGGGGAGGGGGGAGGTACAGCGTCTGAATCAAATCCCTTAATGGCTATTAATGTGGAAGTTTCAGAGGTGGGCTAGGCAGAGTGGCCAGTTTTGTCATCATGTAATCTGTGTGCAAGTATGAGGCAAATGGTTGTGGCAGAAATAATGGTAGTGGTCATAGTATTGGTCAACAGTAGGATTGGTAGTAATGTTAATAAGCACTGTTGGGCAAGTTACTTCAAAACTGTAATGTGTTATTTATGACTTGTTACTGTCATTTCAAAGTCATTAGTTACATTACAATATACTCTCACCAAAATAACCGTCACTGATCGTCACATAACAATAACGCCATATATGGACTGAACCAGTATTAAACCAGGACTGAACTGAGGACTGAACCACGAGGCGCAAACGATGGCGTTTCACCACTGCTGATATCGCAGTGATTTTAGTGAATTTGTATGAAAAAAAAAGAAAAACCCACCACTTCAATCCAGGTTAAAAAAGAGTTGTAATGCGCATTACTTACATTTGTACCAAGTAAAATATTACTACTTTTTTCCCCTTTATTGCCTTACATTACTGTGTTACAACAAAAAGCAACGCATTACAGTAACTCATTGCTTTTATAATGCATTACTCCCAACACTGTTAGTAAGTAATGTAGTACTGGTAGTTGTATTAGCAGTAGCAAAGGAGTAATAATTCCAGCTGCAGCTAAAGCTTATTTTAGTAGTCGACTGGACAGTGATTAATTTTTTCAACAATTAATCACAGTCAAACAATTATCATATTTTTAAAACATTATTAAGGTTGAAACATGGTGACTGGGAGCTTTTAAACAGAATATTTACAAAAAGTGGATTCTTGATGAAGAAAATAAATTATTTATGCTTTATCCTAGTGTCTTAGTTGTAAACACATCTTTTCGTATGAGTCTATATAGTCCAGATAGTATATGTGATTATCAAAATACAACTACGATTAAAGGGCCCATATTGAGCTATTTTCTGATCTATGTTATATTGTTATTTCTTCATCAAAAACAAACCTAGAGTTGTTTTGTTTCATTCACACAAATCCTGTATAATTATACTGCATAGTTACCATGTCATGTGGTAATACAGGAAATGCTTCACTGTGTTTTTAAACGCCATACACCTTTACTAGAGTCTTTCAGCCCTGGAATTGTCAGTCTCCGCTGAACAAAAGGTAAATGCTAAACTGTTAACATGAAAAAAAAAAGCTTCATGACATGACAAGGTGGAATAAAGCATTTTGAGCTTTAGAGATGTACACGGACTAATAATAAAGAGTTACTCAAACATGTGTGAATGAAACAAAACACAATTCCAGGTTTGTTTTTAGTGAAGTAACAATATTCTTACATCGTCTTAAAGCTCACAAGAGTCAATTTTGTGTAATATAGGACCTTTATTTTTTTTATAGTTGACAAGTAAGCCTTGTAATAACAGTAATTGCATTATTTTGTAGTACATACCTTTCCCGGAGTTGTCCTTACAGCCTCTTACTCCTCTGAGAACATCCTGCGTTAAGTTTGACCTGCAAAAGGGCAATTCAAATTTTGTTAAGTGACATTACTGGCAAAACTTCCTTATATATTAAATAAGAGCCTATGGTCAGCTTTTTCTCAGCCAAAATATCATATTAAAATTCATAAGCAATTTATTACCATTGGCAAAAATTCTAACTCCTAGGATTCAAATAGTGTGTTATATCTTCTTAAATTTAAAATACAGATTTTTTGTTTTTCCTTATGGAGATATTATTACCCGGAATGTTCCACAACACAACATTAAACTTGGCTATTTCCAGGGAGACAAGCAGATGTTGCCAGTGCCACCAGGCTAAATTATAGATCACATCTATGGAGCGGGGACCCCACTCACAGTAAGCATTTTGAGATATTTTTGAGCAATAAAAACAGACAAACAGAAAAAACAGACAAACATGAATGCAGTTTAATGCCTTATGTTGGAACATTACGGGCAAAGCAATAACATCTCTATAGACACAAGCATGTAGCGGACTCCCCCACTAGAAAAGTTACACAGTGCACCTTTAATCTTGTCAGACTATCCTCATCAAATTTCTTTTTTCGATTAATCTCTTAGAAAACGCGCATAACACATTTTCTTTTTACAGCCCCTATTAAACGAAGGCATTTCTGTGTGCGTTTGTGCATACAGATGAGAGCACTCAGAGTCCTCCTGTCTTTAAAAGAACATTATCATAATAAAAAGTGCACAGACATAAATTGCATAGTCTTCTATTACACTAATGCAGTACAGGTCCATGGGAGATGGCTCTTGTATCTGCTGCTATAATCAAGATTAAGATGGCTCCAAGTTGCTCTAGCAGAGGGAGTGGAAAAAGGAGTAGGAAGTTTGGGAGTAGATTGGTTTGGTAACAAAACTTCAAGATAACTATATTTAAAAAAATCTGGACACATTAACTTCTTCTGCTAACAATGGAAAAATGTCAACAAGTGTCTCCTAATGTACTGTCTTTAAAAATAACCTGAAGTTAATGTACAAAAGAAGATAAAATAAAAGTTTCTGCATACATCTGGACACATTGCTAAAACATGCTTTGTAGTGTTAGACATTAAATTGATGCTTTTACAATAATACAGCAGCTCCAACAAAGTAACGCAAAAGAAAAATAAAGTTGAGTAGCACCAGATCTAAACCAGGTCTATAACAGGACTATTCCAGGTCTAAACCAGTTTTAAATAGGACTACATTATTGCCACAGTTTAGTTTTAACTAAGTAAGAGATTACTCAAACAAGTCCAAAATGAGTATAAAATGTAATTAATAGTGGTGTAACAATATTCAAGTCTCATGATACGATATCATCACGATATGAATCTCACAGTACAGTACAGTACAGTATTTATTGTGATATTGTGGGAAAGCTCATGATATGGTGGGGAGGCTCATGACTAGGAATGTAACAATATCCAAATCTCTGTTGTTTGTCATTATGTTACTTTTTCCTCTTAAAATGCCGTGACAAGATTTAAATTAATTCAAAGAACTAAGACTTAAAAGTGCTTAGAACTGTTATTTCTTCTTGTAGTCTGCACTGAAATGGAGCAAAGGATCATGGTCTGTGTAGTTCCCTCTGTCTTTTTTAGCTGTTGCTGCACCATAACTCTTCATTTAAGCAAAGACACTTGTAATCTGATATATTGTGATGGTCCACGATTTTAAGAAAAATCGTTAAGAAGCTGCCGATACGATACATATCTCGAAGCAGTGGACTTTCGATTCAATATGATATATTTCAAATCGATTCAATACGGTTCAATAAAAATAAAGTATAAATCATGGCTGTGATATTAAAAGTCTTTGTTAAACCACTTCTTGTGCAAAGTTCAAATGAAACACAAACATTTTAATCGTCAAAACAGTGAAAATGTCAAATGTGCCGCATAAACGAGTTTCCTTCCTCTGAAGAAGCAACAAAACTATAGCTCTGAAACAAAATAATTTTGTAAAATAAGATATATCGATAAAACAGCCCACGATATCGATACTGTATCATCACATTAAATGATACAATACATTGATATTTCAATATTTTTGCACACCCCTAGCTAAGATCACAATAAATATGAAATATATAAAAACACATGATTTTTCAAAGTCAAACATACTAAAATTGATAGATATATACATTATAATTTATTCATACGTATGACAGCAGCTGGAACGAAGCTGCTTTTAAAAATATTTGTTCTAGATCTTGGGACTAAAAGCTTCAGACCAGAGGGAAGCAGGATGTTGCACGTCTTTTATAATACTTTTATAATACTCTTCTGTAACTGTCTTGGTCAGATCTGTGGAGATGTTACTGTGCTTACAGTGTTGTACATGTTTTTCGTAAAATAAAAAACACCTGTAACTGTATTAAATGTAAGATATAAGTTTAATGCCATACTATGGAAATTTTCAAGGCAGAGCAATAGCATCTCAATGGGGACAAGCAAGTAGAAAACCCTCCACCACAAAAATTACACGTTAAAATTAATGTTTACAATGAGCACTCTTAACTGAATCCTAATTTTTTAAACATATTTTATTTGTTAAACTAATCACATTCGCAATACTTCTCAAAAAACTATAATATTTTTTTCTTCAAAATTGTGCAGCCCTAACAAGTAGTAGAATCACTAATCATAAAACATAATATTAGACACTTCACGCTGATCTGTCTACTTTTGAAAAATCTGTTCATATAAATAGAGGATTGTCTCTTTGCCATTTTAATCCTTAAATTTTCACCTGCTCTTCCTCAGTTCCCTCACTAAACAGAGATTCATAAATGCAAAAATGTGTGATTTCAAATTCACTTTTCATTTTACCCCTAAGCTTTAACACAGACCTTTAGATATTCAGTTGGAAGGGGGCACAAGATGTATAAATATTTAACTAGGTTTCAGTAACGATGAACGAGAAAGAAATATTAATCGGGGAGTAAAAGGTCTTGTAATGTAAAAATATACACCGGGTCAGACTCATAAATCTCTGTTTTAGTGATGATTATATAAAAATTAAAAAGGTCACGGTGGTTTCTCGTGAGAGTTAGAGTTGAACAGTTTTAGTACCAGTCTAATAAAAGCAGAGAGTGTAAGAAGTACTGCACTCAAGATATATATATGACCCAAATCAAATAGGCTGCATTATGTCACATCTTCTATATTCAAGACCCCATGTTACACTATTTTCTGATCTATGTTGTAATGTTGTTTCCTCATCAAAAACATACCTGGAATTATGTTTTGTTTCATTCACACATGTTTAACACACAAACCCTGCATGTTTAGACTGAGTTCTTCTTCTTGTGAGCTTTTAGCCGGGCTTTTGTTGTTTCTCACAAATCTTTGAATAACCCTTTATTAATCCGTATATGTCTCCAAAGCTCAAAATATTCTGTCCCACTTTGTGATATCATAAAGCTAGTTTTCAAGTTAACAGCTCCTTTTACTTTTAGTTCAGTAGAGATTGGCAATTCCAGGGCTGAAACAATCCACAATATTCTAGTGAAGGTGTATGGAGTTTAAAACACAGTGGAGCCCTACCTGTAATACCACATGACATTAGGGTTGAGCAGTATCCAAATTTTGATACTGTTAAACCTTCTCAGGATTTTACCGGGGAATACGGTACTGTATTACCAAAATGTTTTAGTACGAGTTTGGTAAGGGATGAAGCCAAACAACTAAATGGTCTATGTGTGTGACCTGCAGACTTACAATCTCTGAAAAGTTTCACATGAACCACCTCCAACACGATACATGCACAGAACAGAGTCACCATCAGCAGCACATCCTCTGTCACAGAGAAAACACTCATATTCCACTGAGTTGTGTCCTTTAGTTCGACAGAAGGACAAGCACAAGGAGTGAGCTGTTTTTATCAGCACTAGTTTATAGTTTATACAAATGAGCCATGTGGTTTTAAGTTTTGTATCTGTAAAATGTGCACCTGAACCCAAAATGCTGACAAATTGCATAAGTACTAGTATTTTTTTTTGGGACCAACTCATATGAGGACAGACTTGCCGTCTTGTTTTGGTCTCCTTTTGAGCATCATGTGGCGATGGAACAAAACTAATCGAACGTCATCTCCCCACACAGTTAAAGGAAACATTATAGACACTATTAGTTTTAAATCGTAATTAAATTGCATTAAATTGCAAAAATACAACCACACATTCATTTGTGCTGAGCAAACAAATTTAGGTATCAATAAATTCTAATATTATATTAGGTCTTTATGCGCTGCAGATTTTTTAAATGACGGTAATGAAACTGATACCGTTGCTACTGTTTGATACCACAGGATACTTTAATATTGTATTACCGCCCAAGTCTACATGACATCATAAGGTGGAGGATTTTCTACCTGAGAAAAGAACTCAGATGAATGAAATATTCTGGGTTTGTGTTAATCATGTGTGAATGAAACAAACCACAACCCCAGGTCTGTTTGTGATGAGGAAACAACATAGATTAGAAAACAGCATAAGATTTTATGCTGCCTTTTAACTGTTCATTTGTATTGTGTTGTTGTTATGATTATTATTATGAAAGATAATTTGCTATTTCAAATGCAAAGGAATGTACTGAAATGAACAGTTAGGTCTTAAAATTATATGTAGTTTTAAAAGAGCAAGCTGTGATCCCTAAAATAACAATGCATCTTTATATAGTATCTCACTAAATAAATGTGTATTTTCTGCCAAAATATTTGCAGCTCAAGTGCACAGACAGAATGAGTCTGGCTCCGCTGTTTATCACAGTATTTACCACTGTCCCACCATCTGCCTCAGATTTTATTTTTATTCCTTCTGATGTAATTAAGATGGCTTTACTAGAGATGTGTAATATTAGAAAACAAACCATAAGAATGATGCAAGTGTGTTACAAATTTTTTATTATTTGCTATTGACCCGTAACCCTGAATAGATATTTTCTGCTAGTATTAGTATTATTTCAGTCTTACAGTACACTGCTACTTGCTTATCTCCATGATGCTATTACCTTGCTGGGAGGGTTCCACAGTCTTACATTACATATTACATTAACATTTATATCATTATTATTATTACTTGGTCCCCGAAGGGTGGACCAGGTATTCACCCTGTGTGTCTGTCCACCTGTGATAATTCCACCATTTATGGACCGACTGTCACCAAATTTGGTACATGGGTCAAGCCGCAAAATAAATTTGGTGACGATCCGAGGTCATTTGAGGTCACACGGGTCAATTGAATGGTCACGCCATTATAAAGGATAGGCAATTTTGGCAATTTCTGAAATATTCACCCAATCATCACACAAGTTGGCACACACATAACCGGGGCACACTGGATGTTACAGGTTGAAACCAGTCAAAGTCACTTGAAGGTCAAGGTAACCAAGGTCAAATATGCGTTTTTGGTCATAACTCTGCGAAGGATCGAGCACGAGCAACAGGAGTTCTCTCAAAATCTCAGAAAAAAATTATTATCTATTTATAATTCTGTGCATTTGTATAGTAAAATATTAATTTGAGATAATCACTAATTATAATAGTTCCTTTCTCTTTCAGTGTATGCCCTTAAAATTCTAATTGGAATGGAAATAATTTCCATTTCTTGTTTTTCTGGTGATACACAACAGACTGATCTACAGTCACACAACTAACACATACAGAACTCATGAAAAATGACATTTTGGTTACACACTAGTAAACAGAGACATGTGTGACCAGAATCACACAAATGTTCATGGGCCTGTACAGATACACACATTGAATTGTGGATATAATGATCATGTAATATGGACTGGGCTCCTCATAAGCTGCCTCTGTGCTGATGAACTGACCCCACCGATGCCTCATGGACCAGGTTACTATCTCTGATTGCGCTTGTTATAATTATTATTATTGTTATTAGTATTAGTAGTAGTAGTAGTAGTAGTAGTAGTAGTAGCAGTAGTAGTATTTATTTTTTGCATTTTTACTGTAAGCAGGGTTGTCATTGTCTTGTTTCTATGGATATGTCACTGCTCTTTTTCAAATGTTCCACAAAATGACATTAAACAGATCTATCTTGCATTTATTCAATTGCAGGTGGTTTATGGGTTTATATCTCAAAAATACCTAGAAAAAGTGGCATTCTGACTGTGAATGAGGTCGCGTCTCCACAAATCTGACCTGTACCTCAGCTTGATTTGGTCTCCATGATGATAGAGAGGTTTACAATCATACTGTGAAATATTCAAGACAAAGCAATAACATCTCCATAGGGAAAAGCAGGTAGCAGGCCCTCCACCAGAAAAGTTACACAACAGATATATAAAAGTGTGTAAAGTGCTATGTGTGTATGTGTACTGGTCAGTGACAGGACAATAATTACATACATTTGCATTATAACTAGTCCAGTCTTAGCTGTTACCTTTGAGCGCGTGTTTGTATCTCCACACAGAGCCTCCCGTCCCAGGCACAGAATGGGTCTCTGGCAAAAACACAGTCGTAACAAGAAGAGTACCTCCTACACCAAGACATCGGGATCTGCACCACGCCAGAGAACGAGCCCACATAGATACTCCTCTGCAGAAAACAGAGAAGAAGAAGAGTATGAAGGATATTTTATATACACAACATTTTCACAATCGTATATATATGTGCATTTGGGAAGGTGCACTGTGGAAGTTGACTGCTCAAGATCTGCTGTCCATGGAGAGGTGCCTAGATTGTTCCTCAGTATGCCAACAAACTAATGGAGACTTGCAAGCCAAATTACAGGTTAGGATTTGTGAAGAGGCCCCACTCACAGTAAGAACTGATATTTTTAAGATGTTTTTGAGAAATAAATAACACCTGTAGTTGAATAAATGCAAGACAGATTAGTTTAATACCATACTGTGGACAATTTAAACGAAAGCATTAACATCTCCACGGAGACAAAGTAGGTAGGCGAGCACAGTGCACCTTTCCTTTAATAATATGCACTTCATACAAATCAGACTATTTCTATTGCTCTGCTTTTTCCCATTAGAACATCTTGTGAAGTCTGTTGGTGACACTTTTTAATAACTACACTATTTATAGCCTTAATGAAGCACGACCAACTCTTTAATTTGTAATGAATAAATAGTTTTGATGCATTATTGAAATTTCAGAAAATCTGGGGGTTTTAGTACAACATTAGAAAACCAACCATCCTACAAACAAAACATCTTTAATAACCTCTGTTCTGTAAAGGTCCAATATTATCCTAAATGGATTCTCATGAGCTTTATAATGTTATAATGGCCACGTTTACATGATGTTTTTTTAAATTCTGAATTAATTATTACGAATTAAATAGTTCAAAATTAAAATATTGTCCTTGGAGTTTAAATGAAAATTCCGAATTAAGGTTTGCATTATTTAATTCCGCTCAATGTCTGGGGGTGGGGAAGGGTTCTGATTGAACAGGGACATGAACGTATTTACGTCGACCAGAAGAAAACACACACTTCAGCTGAAATAAACCAGACTCCTGAACCAACAGAACCTGAGCAGCTCCGGTTCAGGTTGGGCACAGATGAGCTGGAGTGAGGAGTGGTGTTAAGTGCCTCGGCCTGAGAAGCTTTTCCCCAGGAAGAACCAATTGCGCAAAGAACGGACCACTAAGAAGATATAATGAACCAAACAGGATTCGCGCCTCTGTCTGGATGTTTTGCACCACTTCTGTACCAGCCGAGCTCCAGGAGCACGCAGGACAGGAGAAGCCCGCCTGGACCTGTAGTCTACAGCGCATTCTCACTTTCGCTGCACAGATCCAGTGGTCTTGCCCCCAAACAACAGAGGTACGGGGACACAAACATGATCTGAACTTTTTTCACCATCTTGCATGTGCTGAATGACCAGAATAATTTTTTTAAGTGGAATAAACATTTACATGATCATGGAATAAATAATTCGGCTTTACATTTGTAATAAATCACCCACTTAATTCCAAATAATCATTAAGAATGAAGTGTTTAGATGGTCTTTCAAAACCGGAATTACTTTTTATTCCGAATTCAATTATTTTTAATCAAAATGAAAGCTCTGAGGCAAATGCTGTTAACTCATTAAAAACAAACCTGGAGATGTTGTTTCATTCACACAAGTTTGAGTAACCCTTTATATTAGTCTGTCTATTATCTGAAGCTCAAAATCCTCTGTTCCACCAAGTTAACACTACCCTTTTACCTTTTGTTCAGCAGAGATTGGCAATTACAGTGAAGCACTTCCCGTATTACTGCATGACCTCACAAGGTGGAACAGAGTGTTTTCTGTTTGAGAGAAGAAATCAGCCTAAATAAGCAGGGTTTGTGTGTTAAACGTGTGAATGAAACAACACAAACTCTGGGTATATTTTTGATGAAGATAACATAGGACCTTTAAATTTTTAAGAAAGTTCCTTGTTTTTCTCTTATTTGTATGCATAAATAAATATATGATATAATTTTATTCCAGCGTACCAGTCTAGTTGATATGACCATGCTCTCTATGGGCTGAGGTCTCTCAAACAGCTGTAGTTCTTCTATGATGTGCATTTCCCCGTCAATGTTTACAGCGCGATGCAGCCATCCATCATCTGAAAGACACCACTGAACTTTAGATTTGCTGTCTCCGTGGATACGAGGTCAATCAAACTTTATTACAGACACATATTGGACTCACCAGTGCCCAAAAACAAGACTGTATATATATTTCCGTCTAGTGCTCTTTCCTTGTGTACCGCGATCTTGACATAGTTGACACTTCGTTTGAAAAGAAGAGGGCGGGCGCCGATCGGGTGGATCTGATTGGCCATGAGGGGGTGTCGACGGGCAAAGGTGAGGACGTTGTCAGGGAGATCGCGAGATGAGTTTATGTTGAGGGCCCGGTGGATGTCCGTTATACACTGGAAATATAGAAAATAAAAACAGATTAAGTGTATGGTTTTGCATGGACAGTTGTTAAGGGTACACTGGGTTTTCATTATTAAGTATCTTCATCATCATTGCTATTATGTTATTTATTGTATTATTATTTAGTTATTTAGTTAATTTTCTTTTTTTTAATCTACTTTCTACATTTATATTGATTTTATGTGTGTGTGTGGGGGGAGAGAAATAGGGCATGTATACTGTGACTTATGTGGACAAAAAAAAAGGGCACTGTATAAATTGTAAATAAATAAAAAAAAAAAGGGGTGCACTATGTAACTTTTCTGGTGGAGGGTCCGCCAACTACTTGTTTCCATAGAGATATTACTGTTTTGCCTGGATTATTATTATCCACAGTGCAGAAATAAACTTGGTACTCACAAAGGAGAGCAGTTAATGGTCAGATCTAAGGAGAAGCAAGACGGCACATGGCAAGAATTCATGTTTTTTAAGGTATTTTTCAGCTATAAAACACCTGTAATTGAACAAATGCAGAGAGACAGTATGTTTAATGCTCCACTGCAGAACATTCCAGGCAAAGAAATAACATTTCCATAGAGACAGGCAGATGATGGACGGTCCACCAAAAAAGTTACATAGTGCATCTTTCAGATTAGGTCAGGGGTCACCAAACTTTTTTCTCTGGGGGTCACATTATCGCTCCTGACTGTGATGTGGGCCTGGGTCTGGTCGGCCGTATGACCCTGACGAAGCAGATTATATTCTTTGAAAACAGACACACTTTCTTTACGTATCAGACAAACTCCACAGTCCTTACACTGAACAAAAAAATAACTGGTCGTCCACTGTTCTTTGAAAACTCTGTTCTCTCTGTCAACTTTTAGTATTTTAACACAAGCCATTTTGCTGTTAACTGCACTAAAGGACTCGCATGCTTCGACTGTCACTGTTTGATCTAGAGTTTGTCAGGTGACGAAAATTCAGCAGCAAATGTAAATACGTCATATAATTATTCAAATATAAATACTTCATTTAAATATGATTTTATAATTGAAAAAATCTACAAATTACAAGATACAGATGTGTTATTATTTGCCCAAAAGTAAAAAAACAGGCCATGACAACTTTTGAGGATTGTCTCATAGGGCAAGTTCAAGTGGTGGGGGGCAGAGGGGCTGGGGGCCGGTCAAAGGGGCATGAAGGGCCTGAGATGGCCCGTGGGCCTTAGTTTGATGATCCCTGGATTAGGTTGTTTTAGGTTTGTCAGTTACTTAGATTTTTATTAAGAATTCTAGTGCAGACACATGAGCCAGAGCTAAGAATATGACATTTTACAAAGATTAGGAGAATAAATAAAGAATACTGTAAATACATTGTCAGTGAGACTTACAGTGTAATTTACTAACATTTTAATTGGAATTGAGATTTACTTATTTCTAACTGACAATGATCAGCTTGGCACTTTTTAATTGAGAGATCTACTACAGTCATACCTCTGTCAGTAAAATTGGTTTGGAGCAGAGTTCAGATTTTGGAGAAAGAAATTTGACCATTTTTTGTTCTAAAAGTCTAAGTCCATTGTTGTATGTTCAGAAAAATGAATAATAAAGGACTTTTTTAATGAGACAAAATATAATTGAATGGAAAACTGAGATAAATCAGTACATCTTTCTTTGTCATATGGTTCAGAGCTCGGTTGGCTGAGCTCAAATGACATACAGTGTGGTGTCCATGTGGGACATATCAGCGCATGCATACATATAAATACATACATTATGAATTTAGTAAAAACATTCAGAAAGAGAAATATTTACGTGTTTAATAATTGATGCCTGTGCACCAGTGTGAAACTAACATGGTGAATAATTTCTAAAGGACTGTTTCATGACACCCCAATACAGACTCAAATCTCATAAGTAATACAACTGAAAACCACACCAAAACCTCATTTGCTGTATGACGTTCAAATAAATATTAGAGTCTAAGATCTTTGAATAACGCCTCTTTTAAACAAGCTTTTAAAAAATCACAAATAACACTAGAATAATATTTTACATCAGTTTCAATTCACGCGCTACGCTCATATACTGTACCTCTAGTGGCCCGAGAAACACTGTACAAGTAAAATCTTTGACAATGTACTGAAGGATTTTGGCAATAATAACTGGCAAAGATGTTTTATTAAATGTGGATGCTTGTCTTTTTATAAAATAGAACAAGCTGATGGGTGTATTTCATGTCAAGTTTGTGTAGGTTGTGGTTTATCAAAGAAATACTGTTGTTAAAATATAAATGATTCTTTAAAAACAGCATTATATCAGGTGGAAAAATATGTATGGCCATATCATGATAATATTGTTAGTGCTGTCATGCGATTAAAAAAATTTAGAGATTAATTAATTATGATCTGTAATTAATTAATCTAATTAATCTCATTTTAATCTCACCTAAAAATTGCTGAGAAAAGCCTTCAATTTGAGGTATTTTCATTTAAATTCATTATTACATTATTGTGGCAGATCAAAAGACTGATATAGATTTAAAAAAGTTACTTTATAAAGTCATTTATTGTTTAACAAATCTCTCCAAATTGTCTGTTGAGCCCAAGTCTCCATGAATAAGAAACTGTTTGCTGTAAAGTAGCAAAGACGAGGAAATCTGAACATAATAACTTTTGTCTACTTAAAGACAATAAAAAGTCCAGTCTTTCCTTAACCATATTAAAAATATTATTGATAGAGAAATGCTTTATATATGAAATTACTGGTTTTAGTCCTGGTTTAGACCTACTTTAGTCCTACTTTAGTCCTAGTTTAGTCCTGGAATGAATTAATCCTGGTTTTAGTCCTGGTGTTAGTTCTGGTTTAGTTCTGGTTTAGACCTGGTTTAGACCTGGTTTAGTTCTGGTTTTAGTTCTGGTTTAGTCCTGGTTTTAGACCTGGTTTAGACCTGGTTTAGTCCTGGACTGGACTAGTCCCTGGTTTTAGTCTTGGTGTTAGTTCTGGTTTAGAGGCGCACAGGGGGAAGCGCGGTTTACGCAGCGTAGCGAGAAAACACGATCCACACGCAGCTTACGGGAGCACGTCGGTGTCCGCGCAGTAACTATGGAAGGAAACGTGGTCCGCGCGTTCATAGGTTGATGACGACGATGAAGGTGTGTGTTTGTGTTTGTTTGTGTGTGTTTGTGTGTGTTTGTGTGCGTGTCCCCTCATGTGGCAGGTCACTATAGGACAGTAGTGCAGACATCTATGTCTATGTCTATGCAGGTTGTTTTCACCAGTGACATTTAAGTTGTAGGCGATTTTATATTTGTTATTTTCTTTTATACCTCACGTCGGGAGAAGAATTTCCAAGACACGAATGTGTTTTTACCTGTGCACTGCTGCCTCTGTTCTACTGGCTCTACGACCTCGTCCATTGTGCCTGACACCGCCAACGTTAACATGACGTTTACGTCGCTCTTACTGCGCGCGTTCTGTGTGGGTTTCCGGCAATGAGTGGAATTACCGAAATAAAAAAAAAATGTATAAATGTTTTTTTTTTGTGTGTGTGTGTGTGTGTTGTTGTCCCAACAACACATAAAAACAGGTTTTATAATAAAGCAACTCGCATACAGAAATAGTAAAGTTAGAGATTAAAAATGAGATTAACGCGATTAAAAAACATAACACGCTAAATATGACTGTAATTAATTAATCGCAATTAACGCGATAATTTGACACCCCTAAATATTGTATCATGTATCGTATCGAATCATGAGGGACACTGTGATTCCCAGCTCTATTTTCCTTCCCAAAATAACTAAATGATATACTGTAGTAGACATTTGACTCACAGATCCAGGTCGGGGCTCTGGGACCTTTCCCGTGTATTCCCTCCATTTTGAGTCCTGCACCTCCATGTAGGGCCCCTCAAACACCCTCTGTACATCTGAGAAGGCGAACTGACACACAGCAGACGCTTTAATGTTCTTCCTGAAACACACAAACACAAAGATGCAAAAGTCAAAATAGATCCAAGCTACACTTCTGTAATGATACATATAATTTAAATAACTTTGCACCACCATAAGTGTGAGAAACAACCATACTTCTTCATAATTTCATAGTTAATCTTTATTTTTTATTAGCTTCTTTCTCGTTAAAGTTCCCAAAATATATTAGGGTCTATATATTCCCTTTAATTACATTTTAGATTCACTACTGATCTCAGTGTTTACAACCATTTTAGCATTAGTGCTTAGAGTGTTTACAGTTTGATTCCAGCTCCAGCCAGTGCATACAAACCTTTATTTATTATTCTTTAAGCTGATACACTATATAACTTTTCTGGTTAAGGGTCTGCCACCTGCCTGTCACCGATCAAAAGTTACATGTCAGATCAGTGGAGAGGCGAGCCCACTCAATACAGTAAGAATGTATGTTTTCATTGCCTGACCAGCCAGTCTATTCGAATCCAGAAGGGACTGGAACCAGACAATATAGAAGGTGAAAATCCAACTATCCAACCACCACAGCTGCTAATTTGTAACACATCTCTCAAATGCAGAAGACAAAATTCTCCAAAATTCTCCTAACATTCAAAACAAAATATATAACTTCTTTTACCTGAGATAAATAATAGTTTGGTGCTTTGAGTGTTGATTCTGTAAAAATGTGTTTTTGCACAATGCAGGCCCCTCTCTGATTGGTTAATCCGCCTGTCAGTCACACCCTCTGAAATTAGGGAGACAGGATATGACTCCATATCCACTCGTCTTTGCAAAGTTTTGTTAAAGTGTGTGGTTCTTAGCCTGATTCATCAGCCAGTTTCACTTTGTGGAAACCGTCTGACCTTGCAGCTTTAGGACTCGTTCGCTTGACAGTAGGCGGGTTTTTTTTTTTTTATTTAACCAATCGCTGCTATTTGGTCGTGATGTATGTCTAACTGGTATATTAAGCTTTTTCCAAATCCCATAGGAAGAAGGGCAATAAGGTCTTTCCCCTTGATAAAATTCACCAAACATTCTCTTTGTTCCGGCTTTAAATCCTCGATCTTGGGAATGGTTGCAACACAGAATATTTGGCACTTCACTGATTGGCTGGTGCCCGAACTCGCACTTCCGGGTTTTTTGCAAACCCTCTAGTGTATTTTGATTCCTGACCAAGTTGCTGGAGAGAAATAAAATTGAGCGGAGGCACTAGGTGGCACCAGCCTGGCTAATAATTTGGTGCTTTGATGGTTGATTCTGTAAAAATGTGTTTTTGAATGAAGCACGCGCCTCTCTGATTGGTTAATCTGCTTGTCAATCACACCCTCTGAAATCAGGGAGACAGGATATGACTCTGGATCTACTTGTGTCTGTAAAGTTTTGTCAAAGTGTGTGGGTCTGGCTGGTCAGGTAAATGTTTTCCCAGGTATTTTTTGAGCACTAAAATGTGCATTTGAATAAATGAATGATAAGACAAGTACAAGGCAAGGCAAGGCAAGGCAAGTTTATTTGTATAGCACAATTTGTACACAAAGTAATTCAAAGTGCTTTACAGAATAAGAAATACATTAAAATCATAATAAAAACAAATCAAAACATAAATAATCATGAAGATTAAAATTAAAAAGAGAGACATAAATTGGAGAGAAGAGTGCGGAATGAAAACCTTTCAGTTATATGCACAGTTAAACAGAAATGTTTTGAGTCTGGATTTTAAACAGCGTCACAGAAGAGTCTGTCTCACATGTTCAGGAAGACTGTTCCAGGTTTAGCTGCATGAACCTGAAACGCTGACTCCCCTTGTTTAGTTCTGACTCTGGGCACCAGCAGGAGGCCGGTCCCTGAGGTCCTCAGAGTGCGAGATGGTTCATATGACACTAACATGTCACAGATGTACTTGGTGCTCGGCCATGGAGAGACTTGTACACAAGCAGAGCTGCTTTAAAGTCTGTTCTCTGAGGCACAGGAAGCCATGCAGAGACCTGAGCACAGGACTTATGTGCTCGTACTTCCTAGTTCGAGTAAGTACAGTGCTATACTATGGAACATTCCTGGCAATGCAAAAACATTTCCATGGAGACAAGCAGGTGGCTGACCCAGTAACTAAACATCAAAAGAGATGGATAATCCTCAGGGGCTATCTTTACATACATTAAAAATAAGAAGATGACAAATTTATGACTAAACACTGAATAAAGTCAGAGTCGGTTATTATCAGGAGAGACAGCTTCATTCAGGGATCTCATTTCCAACACCTGTCAGAGTACATGACGTTACTGTTGACAGGAGGCACATACCACCAGCTCTTTTGTCATTCTTCACTAAAAACTTGTGAAGCCATTTTGACACTTCCTCCAATCAATCTGACTGAAAAAAATACCAGTGAAATCAATGACAGGTGAGTAATGTTCTGCCTTTATCTCCAGCTGCTCCTGGGGGACGTTTTTCAATAGCGCACTCTACAGGCGAAATATCAACAAAGTAATTGACCCACATTTTTGTCATTCAGTTGATTCAGTTGTACAAGTGGTGACGTAAGTGCAGATAAAAGAAAGCTGTCCTAATAATAGTGTTGAAATAATACTTTTTGTGAGCAAGACAGACGTCACTATAATTATGTTTTGAACCTCATTTGCAGTCTACAAATCTATCATTAGTTTAGCGATGTTGTAATAGTATTTTGACTAGGAAAGGTAATGGAAAAATAATGGAAAAATTGTACTGTAGTTTCTGGAATCTATGGTTTATGTACTATCAAAAGTTAAAGGGCCCATATTACGCTGTTTTCTGATCAATGTTATAATGTTGTTTCCTCATCAGAAACAAACCTGAGTCCTGCATGGGTCCATTTTTGGAGACCTGAACCCGCCCGTTAACCTGTGATTATATCAAAGTTAAATCCTCACCCGCCCGGACCCGTTAACATTCCACCTGTCACCCCCGGTGCCCGTGATAAATCACACACAAATTAAAAGCATTTGTACTGAAGCATGCATCAGAATATGAACTGAAAAGTTACGACTTCAACAACTACAATCACGAAATGAAATGAAACTGTTATGCTTTCTTCAGTACAAATATGAATTCACAGACACGACTCGACTGTCATCACTTCACAGGCATTATTTACTGAGCAGAAGAAACACTGACAGAGATGCTAGACGTTTGTGCCGCACACGCCATGGACTGAACCAGAACTAAACAGGACTAACCCAGGACTAACCCTAGGACTGATTCCAGGACTGAACCAGGAGGACTAAATCAGGACTGAATTAGGACTAAACCAGGACTAAACCAGAATTGAACCAAGATTCACTGTCAGGACGGGCTTGAAGGTGTGCCCGCGTAGACCGTCGCGTGACCACAGGCGAAAGGACCGGCGCAGGGTTCTGTGCTGCCCGGAGGTAAACACAGCTGTTGCACAATCGCGCTTTGCAAACACACTGCTCCACGGGCTCGGGGTTCTCTCTCTCTCTTAAGTTCAAGATTAGTCCTGGTTTAGTTCTGAGTTAGTCCTGACCCACCCGTGTAAATACTACCTGCCCGCATACCCACCTGAAAAAATTCCAGATTATTAAAACCCGCCCGTTTCAGCAACCATTTGGTCAGGTACCCGCGAGTACCCGACCCGGTGCAGAACCCTGCCTAGAGTTGTGTTTTGTTTCTTTTACACACTTAACGCACAAATCCTGCATATTTAGGCTGAACCAGGACTAATCCAGTACTAAACCAGGTCTCTTTGTGTATTATGTCACGTCATAATACACAAAGAGCTCCACTATGTTTTTAAACTCCATACACCTTCACTAGAGTCATTTGGATAATTTGAGCCCTGGAATTACCAATCTCTACGTAACTAACGGGAAAAGGTAGCTGATAACTTCTACAGTTTCATGACATCATAAGGTGGAACAGAGCATTTTGAGATTTGTAGATGTAGACAGATATGTGAATGAAACCAAACACTACTCTTCGTTGCTGTTTTTGAGGAGGTAACAATGTAACATGGCTTAAAGCTCACAAGAGTCAATTTTACATAATATATGACCTTTAACCTACAGTGGAAAAGCACTTACTATCATTTCATATTTTGTGTTTCATGTTTTTAAAGCCACTGTCGATTAGACAAGTGATTTTTATGGTGCAAATTTGAGCTATATTACAATTACAATTTAATGAATAGTTTTTATTGCGCCATTTTTGTAATTGATTGGAGTAATAACTGTCGACATGATTCAGATTTGTGATTTGTTGAACAGCCTGAGGAGAAGAACTTTTACTTCATAAAAGATTCTTCCTTCTGTGGCTTCTGTGTTGAGGCTGAAAGATTAATCAACTAACCGTGACTAGTCCACTATAAAAATAATTGTAATTGTATTTTGATAATGTTAATCATTATCTAGATCAGGGTTTCCAAAACTCTTTTTCTGTGGACCCATATTTTAAAAGTCTCAAACCTTCGTGACCCAAGTCAATAGACATTATTCATAAATCACAAAATAAAGGTGGATTTTACCATTATTGAACATTAATGAGGATATTTTATTGTTGACTGAGTGATTGTGTCTCTCTGAACAATTAGTATTACTCAAGTTTTAAACAATGAAAAACAATAATTGAAGCAGCAATAAAAGGATCCAGAAGTCGCCTATTTGGACATTAAATGTAGCCCATTTCTTTTTCTTTTTAACATTCAACTGAACCAGCAATATTAGAACAAAATAGTCAATAAAATCATTACAAAAAGATTTGAAATGATACAAAACATGTCTTAACATTTCAACATTTTTAATGAGATAGGTGGGCCTGTCTGTGTTTTTGTACCATGTTTCAGTCCGGGGTGCAGGAGGAGAGAGCAGCAGCAGATCAGGCGTATCTCTTATGACCCACCTGAGGGTCACGACCCAGTCTTTGGGAAACAAAGATCTAGATTATATAAACTCTAAGACATATACAAAAATGTCCATATTACACTATTTTCTTGTCTATGTTATTACAGTGTTG